CCCGCGGGAGGGGGAGCGGTGCGTTGTCAGCCCCGCGGGCGGGACGGCGTGGGGTTGGTTTAGCCCTCGGGGTGGATTTCGGTCCGCCTTCTCCGCGCACCCCCGGGTTCGGGTCTGGAGGCGCCTCTCTGCAGCTGTCAGGGCTAAAAATTCACCGTAATCGCCTCGCGCCGGGAGCGAAGGCCTGGAGTCGTGGCTTGTGAGCGATTTAGTGGGGAATAAACCAAGCGCTGTTAAATTTGCTCTTCTAGCTGAGGCGGGGGAGGGTGAGAAAGGCAGCGTCTCTCATCTCAATTTAGAGCTGCTGTTGTTTTTATCTTCATTAAGGCCCCTTCGTAACTTATAAGTAGTCAGGTTGACCAGTCGTGGTAAATCTCAGCCCCAAAAGTCGAGACTTTTCAGTTCCACCTCCTCTAAACAGCTCCCCAGCTTGACAGTTTTCTGACAAAAGGATACATTCCGACTGAGCATCATCTGCTGCAGATGGCCCGTCCTGGCTTTTGACGAGGGCCCGATGAATCGAGAATTTCTCCCGGTCTTGGTAGTTGCGCTTGCCTCACCGGGTGGAAGGCATTTTCTGAGAGAAGTAAGTCCAAGTCTCAGCTGGTGACACTTCAAATCATATTAAAAAGAGATAAGTGTCTCAGTATGTTCTCTGTAAAGAGCACTGCTCAGCGGGAGATCCCGCTCATCCCGCAGGTAAAGACTGAGAGGATGAATGTGTAGGCCTGTGCCAGGAAAGGCAAAAATTGAGATGTCATTGCGCTGCTGGCTGCGGTGCGTAAGCTTGCGATAGACCCCTTACCCGGGAGGACAGAAATCATTTTCTGACAAGGGTAGTTTGAATCAAAAAGAAAGATTTCCCCTCGCCAGCCTCTGACTGAGGTTGTCCCCAAAGCGTATCATAAAATGCCACTTCTTCGATACTGAGGTAAACGAAGCCACGTGGGTCCTTTTCTCCTGCCGTCAGCGGCAGACAGATTCTTCCCTGCCTTCGGAGAAGCAGCTTGCAAATAGTTTTTAGGGCTCCCCTGGGAGCAGCTGACTTCTGACCGGGGCCGTATGCAGTCGCACTCAGCAGTTAAGATCTGATTATTATTTTTCCCCTTCTCTTTCTGCGCATCCCCAGCTGACCCCCTGAGAAACGAACAGTCGGCCTCTGCCTCCAGCCTCGCCTCCCTGCGCAAACCTACCTGGGTGCTCCCTGCCTCGGCAAGGGTGTTTCACCTCGCAAAGGATGCCCATGCACCTTTCCTTTGCTTGCCTTCCTTAAGAGAATGCTTTGGGGTTTATCGCTTTAGAAACTGGTGGTTTGGGAAGATTATGAGACTGCAGGCTCCCCAGTCCTGTAAACATTTGCACGTGCTCGATGTGATTTCGGCTCAATGTGAGTGTTCCTAATGGTGTAAGTGTGACGGCTCATTTGAGGAAAACTCTGCGTGTGTTTAAATGCTGCAGGGTTAGCGCCAGAGACACCAGCCCCATAAGAGAGGAAATTACTTATTCAGGTTATTTGCACATCCATTTTTTATTTTAATGAGCATCGCTACAACACAAACACTGAGCAGACAGCGGGGAAAGATCAATTTGATAAGATTCAGCGTTTCTCTGTGGTTTGGTGTGAGACGTCATGTAATGGTTAGCTAATCCTGCTGCTATATCCTCCAGCAAAACAAAGAATGATGAAGCTTGACGTTCTTGATTGTGCTCGGGAGAACGCAGTTCCTCCGTGCTACATTTTTTCTTTCTTTTCTTTTTTCCTTCTAAAGGGGAAGGGGGCAAAAAGTTTTCAGACCTTTCTACTACATCAGAAGAAAAAAGGAAAACAACAAGATACCACCCCCGTTTCCTCCCCTTTGCATGTTACTCGTAACGTTACAGGTAAGGCGTCGGATTTTCTATTTCACCTTGTTTTGTGCATTTGAAGTTCTGCTCTTAACATTGTGTTGACGCAGACCTGTGCGCTATAGTTCCTTGATTTTTGTGGGTTTTATTGCTTTCTTCTAAAGATAGGGGAAAGGGAGAAGAAGCCTTAAGACGTGGCGCTGTTAAGCTGCACCTTGTGAAGTTTTGTGCACCCCTGATCTCACCCACCCCAGAGACACGGACCCGTCCGGCCATTTAGTAGTCTCTGCACGACTTCACAAGATTGACAGGCTGTCCTGCAGCTTCAGGTTTAGTAACGTATTTTGCCAAGTTTGCGCAAAGTCTGCTTGGGCATATGAACATGCGCTATCCTGCACCGTTCATAAATTAAGAAAAAAAAAAAGTCCTTCAAAGGCACATACGCTTTCCTGTGGGCTACTCCCTTTGATTCTGAGATTTCTCGGAGTAGGCACTGTGAGCCTCGGTGTTCCTGGCCTGCCTGAAATTGTTTTGATGTCTGCAGCACTCTGCTTAATGGACACTTCAGATGCCATCCAGCTTGGAAGCTGTTCATGCCACGAGTGGTCTTTAATAAACTTATTTACTTTCCTTTTTTTTTTTTTTTTCCTTTTTGGGAGAGTTTACGTCTAATTTTGGATCATTCCGAATTTTTACCATATATGGTCAAGGCTCCTTTTCAAACTTTGCCAAAACGAAATGTGATGATTATAGAAAAATGAATTATGGAAGGGAAACTAGGAGAGCTAGTTTTTTAATCCCCATTGTTCATAAGTAGTCTTTTGCTGTATGCAATATCTCAAACCACACAAACGTCAGCTTCTTTTGCCAGGGAGTCACTTGTGCCCAGTGGATGGTCTGATAAGCTGGTGTTCAGAACCGGATTCTGTTCTTTTTCTTTCACCAGCCTGTTGTGTATTTTCTGCCATGTGTCAGAAATGCCACATATGATGAGTATCTTGGTTTTAACGATGTAGTTAAGATGCCTTGAGGTCAAATGTGTGCCGGTCAGCTTTTGAAAAGTCTCTGAGGAGAATTTAGGTCCCGGTGTCTCCTTCCTGATTCCTGTTCTACAGAGGAGGGATAACAATATTACTTTCCCCTTTTCAAAGTGCTTAGAAGGTACAAGTGCTAAGTATTTTAATCCATTATGCAATCAGTTGCCTATTTTTAGTACCTGAACCATTTTTAATGTTCCTTTTACAATGCAAATGTGCTTTTATTGAGGCTGACAGAACGAACTGTTTTGAACACTTAAGCCACAGGGAATGGGGAATGGGGATTTATCAGGGACTGTTTTAACATAACTCTCGTGAAAGGAGGTGTACAGCACATAAAGATCAGAGGACTGCTGCGAGGTGCTTGTAAATTAAATGGTGAGAGACTTCTCTAAAAATCCCAGTATTTCAAACTGCATGAAAGTAGGTGAAAAATGTTTTAAATGCAAATGATAGACTAGCTCTCTTAACAATGGTATTTTTTTCCCCCCTTTCAGTAAGGTTGTGCAC